GTAAAGAAGCCTCCTGCAATGCGGGAGACCTGAGTTTGATTCCTGGGTTGGGAAGATCCCCTGGAGAAGGGAGTGGCTACCCACTCCTGTATTCTGGCCTGGAGAATTCCATGGACAGAGGAACCTGGCAGGCTACAGTCTATAGAGTCTCAAAGAGTCAGACATGATTGAGTGACTTTCACAATGGCTGTATGAGGGTCCATTATAGTATTCTATTCTACCTTGTTTGGTTTGTTTAACAATGCTGTAATATAGTTTCAAAAATACATCAAATATAGCAGAGGGGCAAAAGTATTGATTAGTACAGAATTCCAGAGAGTTCATCTTCCAATAGAAGATTCTGAGCTGGGCCCTAGGGCAGTGAAAACACACCTTTGTCAACAGCCTTCTGCATTTCATTCAGAGGAGAGAAGCCACGGGAACCACGCCCAGAAGATGCTTTGGATTCGACTTGATGGGATTTTTATAGAACATTCGCAGAGATGATGCACTTGCAGACTTTATCAATTATCTTTTGTTGTGTAACAAGCTATCCCCAAGCTTAGTGGTTGAAGATAAACAAACATTGACGGTTTCTCACGATTCTGTGGGGTGGCTAGGATTCTGGGCTGACTTGACTGGGGCCAGATGGGCTAGTTTAGGATGGTCTCAGTCAGATGCCTGGGGCCTCCTGTAGGAAGCTAGCCTGTAATTGTTCACAGGATGTGAAGCGCTCCCAGCAGCAAGAGAGGACGAGCGGAAGCCCAGGCACACCCCACTGATCAGAGCAAGTCACATGGCCCAGCCCAGACCAAAGCAGGTAGAAACAGAGCCTCCCTTGCAGATGCGACTTGTAGTTACTGAACAGGGAATGGGAGCCAAGGGGCCAGGCAGGGTCTGACTCAGCCCACATCTCTGGATGTCACTGACTACTCAGATGTGGCCAAGAGTGGACCCTGTGTAATTCATGCGCCCTGGTTCTAGAATCCTCACTTCACTGGTAGAACAGAGGTGGTGGGTGAAACGTTATTCAGAAATATAAACCCTGGGCTAACAGAAGAAAATCATTCCTGTTTGCGCTTTTGTTTATTTATTTTTTTTTTCTTTCCCTGTGGCTTAAACTCAGTCCTGTTTTTCTTCTTCCTCCTCCTTAAATTGAGCATGTGTGACTCACTGCTCAGGACTGCTAGGTGCTATAATATCCCTCCCCACATTCTCAAAGGGCAAAGTGGCTTGATTCACAGGAGGAGGTGGGACTGGGTGTTAGTCTTGGGACAGCTCCCTCTGCCAGCCCTGTTTCTTCATATCTAGACGAGGGGGTTGCAAGGCATGTCTCTGAGGCCCTTGTGGCCCTGCCCTGCCTAGAGATGCAGCAGGTGGTCCGGCGCTCTGTGCCCTGGGTCTCAGGTCAGGCCTGGCCTCTTTGGGAAGAAGGATGCTCTGTGTTGGTGTAATAGACTTGTGGCAAAAGTGGCCCTAATTCTTCACACGCACCCGTATCCATACCTTTCTCTGCCTTTAAATTGAAGTACAATTGATTTACAATGTTGTGTTACCCTCAGGTACACAGCAGAGTGACTCAGTTATACACCTGGAGCAGGGACAGTCTGCCCGCTCCAGGATTCTGGCCTGGAGAATCCCATGGCGCAGAGTTGGACACGATTGAGCGACTTTCACTTTCTTTTTTTATTTTTATTTTTTCGACTTTCACTTTCACATGTTCATCTTGCTCATTTGTCTGAGGCACTGTCTGCTGACTTCCCCCCAGTGAACGTGTGGCTCCCTGTCACTGCTTCCCTCCCTTCCCCACACATATGCACCCTCCCCAGGCCCTTTGTCCTTCCATGATCCATAAGTCATGGTTCTGTTAAATTAGCATTCACTTTTGACTTGCCACTGTGACTTTGAAAATGCTATTTGCTATTGAACTATGTAAAATGATACTCCAACTTTTGCTTTCTTGTCCAAGTTCTCTCTGCACGAGCTTCCATAGGACTCTTCTAAGCCCCTGAGTAGAGTGCGGCTGGGGAGGCAGAGGCGATTCTTAACTCCTCCCTGTCCTTCCTCATCAGAGAGAGGCAGGCAGACAGACACCCCTGAGCTTTCCCAGGGTTCAGCAAGGCTACTCTTTTAGGTGACTTCCTCTGTGCCACCCTCCCCCTCCCAGAGAAGGGTCCGGCTTGTGTGTCATCAGGCAGCGCCCGCTTTGTACCTGCCTTGGTTTCCACACATCTCTCCCATTTCAGTGGGTGGCACCCAGGGCCAGGGCTCTGTGGTGTGGCCTGAATGTGACCATGACCCCTTTTCTCACTTTCCCAGCTTCTCCATCCCAGTCTGGTGGCCCAGGGTACGTGGTAGAAGCCTTTCTGAGAGATTTCTGGGAGAGATCTTAGTGAGGAGCTGGCTGGGAGAGTTCTGGGGCGTGGATGGGGTGCAGAGGCAGATTCTGGCATGCGTGTAGGAGGTCTGGATCCGTGGCTGTTCTGGTGGTGGGAGCAGGACAGGAGCAGGAAGCACTGTCCAGGCCCCGGTGCACAGGATGCAGGGCCGAGGTATCTGAAGGGCTGTGGGGCCGCCAGGTTACAGGGCAGCCCTGGAGAAATGGAAGCTCCATCCGCACCAAAACCTGCCCAAGGAGCCTCATCGTGTTCTTAATCGTCAGAAACGGGAAACAAGCCAGCTGCCTTTCAGCTGGTGAGCAGAGGCTATGCAGTGGGGCACTACTCGGCAAGGAGAGGAACCAACGACCAAGACAGGCAGCATCCCGGCTAAGCCCCCGATGGCAGTCAGCTAAGGGAAGGGACACAGACCGCGCCCTGTGATTGCATTTATGAGGCGCTCCGGAAGCAAAACTGCTGGTCAATGAACAGGCGTAGTTCATCCCACCCTGGGGCCAGGGCGGGAGGAGTGGTTGACAGCAGGCTGGCAGGAGGGAACCTTCTGGGTGGATGGAGATGTTTTACATCTTGATTATTACAGTGGCTGCGTGGCTCTGTGCATTTGTCAAAATCCATAGAATTGTGTGCTAGAAAAAGGTGAAATTTGCTATGGGTAGTTTTTACCTCAGTAAACCTAAATAAAGCAAACACATGACGACAAAAGGTTTCAGCCTGCTCAGTATTTGTGGTGATGCTGTGGCAGCAGGAAAGTTACCAGTGTGGGTCACAGGAGGAGGTTCAGGGGTGCTCTCACACACGGGGTGAACGGACACCTGTGTTCTCTCATGAGGCCCTTCCTGTCCGCAGCGAAGCGCCACGGGTGAGTCGGCCCATCTAGCATTCTGTGGAGGAGCCGTGGATGTCACAATGGAGAAGACCCCCAGATCCCACATGCTCTCCCCTCATGCCAGCAGCCTGTGGCCATTTCCCCAGTGGGGAGAAGGGAACAGGGTGGAACAGCTGAATCAGAGGCTCAATTTCAGAGCCGGCTCTGTCACTTGCCAACTCAGCGTCTCAGAGCCTCAGTTTCCTCATCTGCAAAATGGATACAACAGCCCATACCTCACAGAGCCGGGTGAGGGATAAATGATGGTGACTGTATGAAAGCCCCGAGCCCCATGCCCAGCTGTAACTCACTAGCTGGCTGCGGTTGAATTCCTGTTGCTCTTCTTAGAAGCTGTGTGGCCTTGGACAGGTGTCTTAACCTTTCTGGGCTTTGAGTTCCTCATTGATAAAATGAAGCTTTATGGCCCCATAAGGTTGTTGTGAGGATTTAATGATTATAAAGGCCTTAGCTGTGGGCCTACCATACAGTGAACACTCAGAAAAAGTCACAGCATTTTTATAATAGGGTTGCCAAATTTAGCAAATGAAGATACAGGATTCCCAGTTAATTTGGAATTTCAGACAAGCAGTGAATATTTTTGTAGTATGTGTGTGTCCCATGCAATATTTCGGATATACTTATACTAAAAAAAGTATTCATGGCATGTGCTGTGTGCTGTGCTTTAGTCTTTGAGTTGTGTCTGACTCTTTGCCACCTGATGGGTTGTAGTCCGCCAGGCCCCTCTGTCCATGGGTCTTCTCCAGGCAAGGATACTAGAGTGGGTTGCTGTGCCCTCCTTCTGGGGATCTTCCCAACCCAGTAATCAAACTGGGGTCTCCTGCATTGCAGGTGGATTCTTTACCAGTTGAGCTAACAGGGAAGCCTCATTCATGACATAATTATACTAAAAAAAATTTGTATCATTTATCTGAAATTCAAATTTAACTGGGCACTCCATACTTGGGGAGACAGATTTGGAATGTGGGAATGGAACTAAGCCTGAAAGTGAGTAGAGGGGTGAATGATCTTTTTTTGTTTTTTGTTTTTTTTTAAATCTCCCTGCAGTCTAAATCATTCATCTAGTTTATCTATGATCTCCCCTCAGGAATCTCCCTGGGTTTAACCCACACAGCCCATTCATTCCTTGGTCCTGCTTTTGTTTTGGCCCCGGGCCATCTGCCTGTATCCTTTGAACTCGCTCCTGGACTGAGGCTGCCCTGTGGATGCCCTGTCGTCCTGCGTCTGATCGGTGCGCCTCTGGCCTTCCCGTGGGCCCGGCCGGCCGTGGCTGCCGCCCGCGCGGTAGGCTCTGCGTGCCTGTGGCTGGGGGCTGAGTGGCAGCACCACTCTTACATAATCGGTTTCTCTCCTCCTTTCTCTTTCCAGAGCCAGATTTCACACTGAGCAGCTGCAGACGGAGAAATCAGAGAAAGCACAAGCCAGCCACAGATTCCAGGGCCTGCGGGAGACTCTCCTCCCACTCAGAAGGAAGACCCCGAGGCGACCGTCTCAGGCCAGGTCTTGCTGCCATGGGACCCACGGCTGCCGCCCACTGGCTGCCCTCCGCACTGCCGGGCAGATAAGGGGGAGCCCTGCCCGGAGCACCTGCCAGCACCCGGCCACTCCCCCGAGGCCAGCCCTTCTCACTCCGGGCTCCCTCTGCTGACCTGAGGCCATGTAGGCCCTCCTCGGACCTCTGTGAGCACACACACCTCTGGGGACGCACATCTGTTCTCTGCGAGACCCAGCGCACCACCATGCCCCAGGGACTCGCCTGGCTGCGCTGTGAGTACCCAGCAGGGCTGGGGGGTCCATGGGGACTGCCCGGGGAGGCCTTGGCCCGCAGCCGGACTCTGCTGTAACCACGGGAACCGGGCATTCTTCCTGGGGAGAAGTTGAGATGCTTCCCGGCTTAACGGCAGGCACCCTCAGGGACTCCCACGCCATCTGCCCCATCTCCAGCTCAGGCAGGCATGGTGGCTGTGAGCCTTGGAGTGGGTGGGCACAGTCAGTGGGTCACGGGGACAGGGCAGGCACTCGGGGTGGGAGGCAGGGTCTCACCTGCCCAGACTCACTGGTGCTGGGGAGTACAGCGCAGAGATTCTGGCTTCCCTGGGGGTGGCCAGGCCGGGGTGGGGGCTTATGAAATTGTTTGGGCCCTGAGACACATGAGAGAAGTTCAGGCTGTCCCCTCTGCCTCTCCCTCTGTGCAAAGCTAAATCAAAAGGCAGGAAGAGAACAGTGCTGTTGGGAAAAAGAAAAATAGTTGAAATGAGGACAGAAAAGAAAAAGAATCTAGAAGCCTCTTGAGCCTGCTGGTGGGAGGCCAGACCAAGCTCCCTTCAGACTCCAGGATTCAATTTAATCGACTCAAATTCACCATATTTTTTCTGGTGCCACCCACGTGCCCACTGGAGAGGTACTGCCATGGTGACAAGGACCTAGGCTATCTCGTGCGTCTCTAATACCTGGCATGGAGTTAGATGCTGGGAGCCATGTGCTATTTACATGAGGTCTGGGATCTGATCCTCCGAGGGATGCGCTGAGGAGCTGGGTCCTCCCCGGCCCTTGTGGAGGGCACTGCAAAGGGTCAGGATGTTCAGAACGGGTGGGAGGGCCCAGACTTGGTGTTCCGGAATTTTCCAAGTCATGAGGAGCAGGGGGAGCAGGAGAAACAGCAGAGCGAGGTGCCACTTGAAATGGTCTCAGAGGCAGGTGGGTCCGCATCCGTAGAGCTGGGGAGGTGAGGATGGCACTCCTTCCAGGGAGGGGAACAGCGTGCGCAGAGGCCCAGCAGGAGGGGTGAGAGGCCAGGCTGGGCATCCGTTTGGGCTCAGGAGGCTGAGGCCGTGGGAGCCAGGGTGAAGGGCGCCTGACTGATGAGATAGCAGGGGGCCCTGGAAGATGCATGGTCTGGGGTGGGAGCTGGGATTGGGAGTCCCTCTGCTTCGGGGAGAGTCTCTGTTCCATCCTTCTGGGCAGGAGGTAATGAGGGTCCCTTCTGAAGATGGAGGTGAGAATGAAGAGGCCTGGCAGAGGGGCATGGCACGTGAGGTGGAGCGCAGGGGTAGTGGGCCGGCTGTGGTGGGGGGCTGCGGATCAGGAGCTCAGAAGGGACTGGGTGCTGGCGAAGGGGTGGCTGTCCTAATGAATTGCCACAAACTTGGTGAAACAGCAGAAGTGCACTCAGTCACAGTTTGGGAGGTCAGAGGTCTGAAATCAAGCTGTCAGAGCTCTGCTCCCTCTGAAGGCTCTGTGGAGGGTCCTTGCTGCCTCTCCCAGCCTCTGGCGGCTCCTGGTGTTCCTTGGCTTATGGCCGCATTGCCCCAGGCTGCCCTGCTCTGTGAAGACCATGTGAAGGGCCCTTCCCTATGCGTCTCTGTGTCCTTTCCTCGTCCTAAAAGGACACAGGCATCGGAGTTAGGGCCTACCCTAAGCTCAGGATGAGCTCAGCTGGAGACAGCTGCAGCGGCAGAGACCCTGCCCGGGAGGCAGGTAGCGGTGAGGCTTCAGTCCTGCTGCCCTGCTTTTCGGAGTTGAGGCAGCGGGAAAGGAGCTTAACACTGGCGACCGCAGCTGGGCTGCAGGGCTGGAGGAGGTCTAAGTCTGGGAGGAGACAGGTCATCTGCGTAGCGTTTCCGGGGGCGCCCGCCGCTGCCAGTCTGGAAAGCCTGGGGGCTCCGCAAGTCCCTGCTGCGTGCCTCGTTGCCAGGCCCTGAAGGCTCCAGCCTGGGACTCGGATGAGGGCAGGTGGAGTGAGACTTGGGGGTGGAGTGGGCAGCCACGGGGTGCCAGCCACGTTGGAAAGAAAATTCAGTATGGACAGACATCCTGATTGTGAAAGAAAATACGGAAATTTTGATCTTTATGTGACATCTCTGTGACCCGAGGACACCTGTCTGTGCCCTGTCACTTTCTGCCAAGCACAGTCGCCAGACCAGCAGCATCAGCTTGACTTTGGAACCTGTTAGAAGTGTAGATTCTCTGCCCCCCACCCCACACCCTGCCTGCTGAATTAGGTACTGTGGGTGGGGCCTGGCACTCTGGGTCTTTACCAGCTTCTGCAGGAGACCCAGATGCCTTCTCCCAGTTCCCTAAAGTGCTGAGTAACATGACCTCGCTGGGGTTCAGAGCGCTGTGCATCCACATACTGGGAGCTGCCTTATCTGCTCAAGACATTGAGTGAAATTGGCCAGATGGTGCTAGAGACAGAGGCTGGTCCTGGTGGGGGAGGCCCCGGGGACGGAAGGAGTCTTGGTCTTACAGTGTGAGAGGACAGCCAGGTCAGGGGCAGTGTGTGGGCCAAAACCCCAAGGCAGGAATGATCCTGATGGACAGGAGCACCCAGCTGAGGGGCGATTGATGTAGAGACAAGGTAGGGAGCAAGCGGAAACACCGGTTTGTCTGTTCCTTGGTCTAAATATTGGGTCAAGAACATGGGAAGGGGAGAGAGACAGGAAGTGCCAGATGGATTACAAATTTACAAGTTGGCCAAAACTGTGGGGTCAGATTTCTACGAAGGGAAGTGGGGGTGGGCTGCAGCCCATGAGGGGCACAGGCTTGAGCAGACCTGAGCTCCTGGCCTGGTAGGGGCACAGCTCTGAGCAGTGGGGGTGAGGGGGTGGGGTGGGGCTGGGGTGGACAGTGAAGCCCCCAGCTCAGGCCTAGGAAGCGTAGGAACAGAAGGGCTCCCATGTGCCAGGGAGGTGGGTGGGGAAAGTCCGGCCAGTAATTCCTGCTTACAACAAGAGGTGACTCAGCCTGCCTGGCTAATTTGGGGAGAAAGAAAGAAAGGAAAGGAAAAAGCACTGCTTTTGGCTATAACAATAATAGACAATAGTTGTAGAATATACCCTACAAAATATAAAGAAGAACATAACAACATCCCATAGAGATTTGGTACATTTCTTTCCGTTGCATTTTCTATGCACACACACAAACAGAGTTAACGAATTCAAGTCATGCTTTATACTCAGTGTGTTGAGTCATGCTTTTTTAAACTTCACTAAGCATATCAAAAGTAATGTTCTTGTCATGAAAACATATCATAAGTATTCTTTAACAATGTGATTTTTATTGACTGCATTCATTGTTAATGAACATGTAGGGCACTTATAGATGTTTGCTATTATAAAATAATACTGCAGTGGAAGTCTGTGTCTCTCGTTTGTTTTCCTTCACATTTATTCCTAGAAATGAGTTTAATGGGTCAAAGGGTGTGGACAGTTTTAAAGTTTAGTGGGTTGAAATGTGAACATTTTAAAGTCCATCAATAACAAAAACTGCCAAAGTGCTTTCCAAGATGAGAGCATTTGCCTCACTACTTCACCAGCACTTTAGTAATTTTATTCTACTAAAATAAAGCAACAGCAACAAAAAAACTCATTTTCTATTTGGTAGGTGAAGCATGGATCTGATTGTTTTAGTGTGAATTTATTAGTGAGGTTCATTTTCAGATATGTCCCTTGCATATCCATATTTTGTTCTTTCTGCTCTGATCCACTGAACTCTTGTTCTTATTTGTTGCAAATTCTCTCAAATATATTTTCTAAGTCTGTTCAGTTATGCAGAAATCACAGTTTTTTAAAGTCACAGTGACCCACAGTGGTGAAGGTGGGTAATGTTCAGATCATCAGCCTGAGGGAGGTTCAGGCAGCATCCTCGAAAGACCACACAGGAAGGGCCGGTACACACCTGCTGGTGCCAACACCTGAGAGCATGTCAGAGTCAGACAGCAGGGAAGACAGTGGCGTGGGTCGCCCTGGGGTCATTGGAAGAGTTCTGACTCGACTCCACGGTTCCAGAGTCTCTGCGTGGAAAATGCAGCAGCAGGCCTTGGAAACTCCTTGGCTCTAGACGAGGGGCAGAGGTTGCCCTGGAAAGGAGGGTGCCCGCTCCCAGAGCAGGAGCAGGCAGGAGGCTGGGGACCACCCCCAGGGCGTGGATCTGGGGGCTCTGCCAGGCCGAGGTGGGAGTGGCTGGGCTGGGCGGCACGTGCTTGTCTGAGTTGTTGTCCCGGAGCCCCGGCCCCAGGGAAAGGCTGCCCAGTGCTAGGATGGCCTCCTGGGGGCCCAGTGCCCCCACCCCAGCCTGTGAGGACGTGTCCCCTCATAAAGGGAGGCGCGTGCTCACTCTGCACACAGGTGCGTGAAGGGAGGCGTGTGCTCACTGCACACCGCAGGAGCAGTGTGAAGCAGCAGGTGCTCACGTGTTCTTGCTGGGTGCGGCCCGCAGATCTTGGGATCCTCCTCGGCATGGCCTTGGGAAATGAGGGCTTGGAGCCGTGGCCCTTGACCCAGAGCGACGAGTGCGCCGTCACTGGCTTCCTGCGGGACAAGCTGCAGTACCGGAACCGCCTTCAGTACATGGTACCCTTGGGCCCTCGCTGCGTCCTCTTCCCGAGGCCCTTGGCTCACAGGACCAAGGGCCCAGGCGTCATGCCCCTCCCTGGCCTGGTGTCAGCCCTGAGCCCGCCCGGCCCCTCGCACACACCCTGAGCCTGGGCTGCGCTGCCTGTCCTTGCTCTTACCAGCCGTCCGCAGTCCCTCACCCGCCTCTCATCTGAACCTTGATCCCACCTCCACGTGGCCCTCTCCCGGGGGAGAAGGGATTGCAGGAAATCTTGGGGGAAGCCCAGACAGGTATTGTTAACAAGGGTGATAAGGACCTGGAAATTACAATGTTTGATTCTTTTGTTAGGGTGAATCATGTGGCATGTGGCTCTATAGGTCCTTTTTTTTTTCAACAGCTTTGAAGACATATTGAGACATAATTCATATACCACACAATTTATGTACTTAAGTGTACATTTCACTGATTTTTAGTGCATTTTCAAAGTTATGAAACCATCACTATAAGTTTCAGAGAAATCCTTTAAAGTTATCTTCCTAAAAAAAAAAGGTTATCTTCCTCACCCAAAGGAGATGGTTCTCTCAGAGTAGTAAGCCTCTCATCCCACATCTTGGCCTGAGACGAGGCCTGGTGAGGACCTATCCTTCCCTGTTTCCTGGAGGAAAGAGCTGTCTTTGTCCCAGCTGGGGGCCAAGCACATATTTTCTGTGGAGGACCACTGCTATGACCTCTGCTGTGGAGGGCCGGTCCGGGGTTCTTCCCCTGCATCAGATTCCTCTGGGAGGCTGGGGGAATCTGAGCCATTTCTGACTCTGACCTTTTCCTTTGTTCTTTTATCTTCCTAGAAACACTACTTCCCCATCAACTACAGGGTCAGTGTGCCTTATGAGGGGGTGCTCCGAACAGCCAACGTCACCAGGCTGGTAAGAATCCCCTCCTCTGGACTGGGGAGGCCCCTGCCTCCCGGGACACCCTGGGCGCCCTGCCAGGGAAGCTCACTGGTTTGGGCTGGTCCCGCTGCCAGGAGGCTTTCCTGGCCCCTCAGGCAAGCCCACCCTTGGCTCAGGCCCAAGCTTGCTCCCCACCCCCGGGGGCTGTCCGTGGTCTATCCCCTGTGCAGGGCAAATCTGGGGGGGCATTGGGCCTGGGGGCGGGGCTTCAGTAGTTTCTCTGTCCCTGCAGCAGCGGGCCCGGGTGAGCCAGCAGGAGCTTCGGTATCTGTGGGTCCTGGTGAGTCTCAGTGCTACTGAGTGGGTGCAGGAGGTGCTGCTCGAGGGCCACCCGTCCTGGAAGTACCTGGAGGAAGTGCACACGCTACTGCTGGACGTCAAGCAGGGCTTTCGGGTGAGCGTTGCAGGGGTGCAGGCAGGTGGGGCAGGTGGGTGTGTGCGCGCACGTGTGAGCATTCTGGGGGTGCGGGCGGCAGGGTGCGTGTGTGTGTGCCTGAAGGTGAGCATTCCAGGGGTGCAGACAGGCAGGGTGTGTGTGTGTGTGTGTGCGCCTGCAGTTGAGCATTCTGGGGGTGCAGGTGGCAAGGGGTATGTGTGTGTGTGTGTGTGTGCCTGAAGGTGAGCACTCCAGGGTGCAGACAGGCAGGGTGTGTGTGTGTGTGTGTGTGTGTGTGTGTGTGTGTGTACGCCTGCAGTTGAGCATTCTGGGGGTTTAGGCGGCAAGGCAGATGTGTGTTTGTGTTTGTGTGTGCGCACGCACCTGCAGATGAGCATTCCAGGGGTGCGGGCAGGCAGGGTGGGTGCATGTGTGTGTATCTGTGTGTGTCTGCCTGCGGGTGAGCATTGCGGGGGTGCGGCAGGCAGGGTGTGTGTGTGTGTGTGTGTGTGTGTGTGTGTGTGTCTGCCTGAAGGTGAGCATTCTGGGGGTGCAGGCAGCAGGGTGCGTGTGTGTGTGCGTGTCTGCCTGTGGGTGAGCATTCCGGGGATGCGGGTGGGCGGGGCAGATGCGTGTGTGTGCGTGCGTGTGTATGCCTGCAGGTGAGCATTCTGGGGGTGCGGGCGGCAGGGTGCGTGTGTGTGTGTGTGTGTGTGTGTCTGCCTGCAGGTGAGCATTGTGGGGTGTGGCAGGCAGGGTGTGTGTGTGTGTGCCTATGCGTATGCATGGCCAGAAGCTATCAAAGGAGGAGGTAAATGCGTGGAAAGTCCTGGCTTGTCCTGGAGGGTGTGGGAGAAGTGGGGGTCAGGGTGATGGGCTCGGCTTTGGGGGCAAGAGATGCAACTGAGACCCTCTTAGGCTCTGCAAACCCCGGTGAGTCATTGGCCCCACTCACTGTTTCCACAGCTCAGGAACAAGCGAAGGGCAGAGACAGGGGGCTTAGGGTGACGGACTCTTCTGCGTGATGCTGTAATTGCATTTGTCAGAGCCCACCAATGTACAGCAGAAAGAGTGAACCCTAATGTAAGAGAGTTTAATTAATAATAATAATAGGGGTTCCTGATTGCTGCCTTTCAGCGGTGTTGATCTGAGGCCTGGTATGTATGTCTTCCAAAAGGCCTGAGGAGTACAGTGACAGGATCACTGTGTTGTCTGTGCAGGCCGTATGTGTGCTGTGGGACCCCCTCCCCACATGCCCACTCGCCCTCCTTAGGACCCCGGTAAACCCCTGCCGGGCCCCCAGCTGCTGCCCAGCAGGAACAGCCGACAGGATGCCAGCTATGAGCTCCTGCCGACCTCAGGGTGCGGGGCCAGCGCCTGCTTTTGCAGCCGCCTGGAACTGTGTGTAGGCTGTTTTCCGGCAGAGGCCAGGAGGCTAGGCCGTGTCCTTGGTAGCTCTCTTGTGCCTGGGGGCAGGGTAGGGGGGTGCTGACCTGGGGACGGCCCGTCGTACTCCATCCTCAGTTTTCCTCGGGAGTGTCTCTGGCTCCTGGAGCTCCAGGGAGCTGCTCTGGGGGCTGGGAAGGAGACGTGGGTAGGCTGAGGCCCTGCCCACCTGGGCTGTCCAGGGTGAGCCAGTTTTTAATCCCGCCTTTATCAGTGGCGGTGGCCGAGGCCCCCTCACGGGTGACCCGTGTCTCTGGGGTGGTGGGTCCTCCCAGGGCGAGGCCCTTGGCTCTCCTGTCAGCCTCACTGCTCTCTCTGAGCCTTTGTATGTTAGCTTTCTGGGACTGCCAGCACAGATCCCTACTAACTGACCCCTTCAATCCGAGCCTGCGCCTCCTCTCTTCCAGTCGCTTGGGGCTTCCCAGGTGGCACTGCTGGTAAAGAACCTGACTGTCAGTGCAGGAGACGTAAGAGACATGGGTTTGATCCCTGAGTCAGGAAGACGCCCTGGAGGAGGGCATTGAAACCCGCTCCAGTGTTCTTGCCTGGAGAGTCCCATGGACAGAGGAGCCTGGCGGGCTGCAGTCCATGGGGTCACACAGGGTCGGATGCGACTGAGGCAACTTAGCACGCACGGTGGCTTAAAACAACAAAAATTGTTGTCACGGTTCTGAAGAGCAGAAGTCTGAGGTCACGGGGGCAGCAGGGCCACGCTCCCCCAAAGGCTGCTGAGGACGCTCCTTCCCAGCGCTTCCAGCTTCCGATGCTGGTCCCCTGGTTCTGGGCTTGTGGCACATCATTGCAGCCGCTGCCTGTCTTCACACGGCCTTTCCCCCTGTGTCCCATGTCCTTTCTCCTGTCTCCCATCATCCGATTTAGGGCCTACCCTAAACCCAGACTCATCTCATCTGGAGGTCCCTGACTTAACTACACCTGCAAAGACCCTGTTTCCTCACATTCACAGGACTTGGTATAGCTTCCCTTGTGGCTCAGCTGGTAAAGAATCTGCCTCCAGTGCGGGAGACCTGGGTTCAATCCCTGGTGTAGGGAAGATGCCCTGGAAAAGGGCATGGCAGCCCACTCCAGTATTCTGGCCTGGAGACTTCCATGGACAGAGGATACTGGTGGGCTACAGTCCAAGGTGTTGCAAAGAGTCGGACAAGACTGAGCAACCAACACTTTTCACCTTTTTGCAGCTTTTTTAGGGGGACGTGGGGGCAGAGAGCACACTTCACTCTGAGGAATGGCCTTGCCCAGCTCAGGCCCCACAGCCCCCTGCTCCGTGTTTGCTCCTGCGGCTCCGGGCCCCGCTCTGTCCCAAGCACGGTGCCCGTGCCCCCCGCACTGAGCCCCTTAGAGTAAATGCGACTCAGAGGAGCCCACCTGCTTGGAGCCGGAGACCCAGCCCTGTTGGCCTGCTTTGGCCTCATGATACGACCGACCCTCCTGCGGGTCCTGCCTCCTCTTCCTGGAGTGGGTGTGGGTCTCTGCACCTGAGGGGCAGTGTCCCTGGGACGGGGACTCCTCATGCAGGGGCAGCCAGGCCTGCCCTGGAGCAGCAAGGATGCCCCCAGCTCCTCCCGGTCTGGCCGCCCCCAGGAGAAGAAAGAGAAGCCTCTGTGTGTTGTGCTTGGGTGAGGGGCATTGAGGGAGGCCCTGCCAGGAAAAATGGCGCCCGCAGGAAGGAGAGAAGTTACTCTTGGGTGTTCTGGTCCCCTCTTTCCAGGCAGGACGAGTTTGCCCACCCCAACCTCACCCCTGCCAGCTCTCTGGGGATCTCTGCACGGGCTGAGGGTGGCACCTGTGGCCCTAAAGCTTTCCTCCCTCCCAGGGCGTGGAGGTCAGCCCCCAGGTGGAAGCAGTGTTGAACCTCCTGAGTGCGCCGGGAAGCCTGAAGCTGGTGCGGCCCAAAGCACTGCTGGACAACTGCTTCCGGGTCATGGAGCTGCTCTACTGCCCTTGCTGTGAGGAGCTCTGAGGGGCTGGGGCTGGGTACTGGGGTCTGAGCCAGGCCGCCGGGCAGGGCCGGGGCCCTCCTCAGCACGTCCTCTGCTCCCCAGGGCCACAGGCCATTTCTGGGAGCAGAGATGGACTTGGGTACACAGAGGGCAGTGTGGCTCGCTGGGGGTGAGGGGGCTGCTGACCAGTCCTGCAGCCTCATTTCTGTGTGTGTGTGTCCCCGCAGGTAAAGAAAGCTCTGTGCTAAACTGGCAGGACTGTGAGGCGCCTCAGCCTCAGCCTCGCAGCCCAGCCTCGGCAGAGTGCGAGGCCGCCCAGCTGTACCCTCTGCCCCAGCCGCCCTCCACCTCCCTGCCCCGCGTCCTGGGACCCTTGGCTGGCCCCCCTGATCAGTGAAGCTGCTGAGGGCACAGGGCGAAGGCTTCCTGCCCGGAGGTGCCTAGGGTGACCTGGGGGGCAGCTAGAGGAGCCCCTGCAAGAGATGGACTGGGCCTGAGATTTCGGGTGGTGGTGGGGAGCACCTCCCGGAGAGGAGGCCCCCGAAGTGTTTTCCTTTGAGGACAGAGCCTGAGAAGCGTGCAGCTCCCCCTCCTGTGGTCTCGCCGGGAGCGGCGGGGGCCGGGGCACCTGAAGGTCGATGAAGGCAGAGCCTCTGGCTGCTCCTGGCCCTGCCTGGGCTGCCCCTTCCCCGAAAGCAGTGCTGACCTTCTGAGTCAGGTGGGTGTGGGCGGAGCCCGGCTCAGCAAGGCCGGGGTGGGGGCAGCAAAGCTGGGACAAGGGCATGGTCGCCAAATGCCACGACTTGCCATAGTTTCTTTTATTTTTTCTATTAAACACTGCTTTGTTTTGGTTTGCTTGCATCTTTGAGGGTGAACCTGTAGAAGGCTGCTTTCCCCTCCTGCCAAGTGCAGGAAGCAGGAAGGGGGGCGGGCTGGTCTGGTGCAGGGGCCTGGGGCTGAGGATTCAGAGTTGGAGTGGTCAGGGCCTTCGCCAGGGTCCGGAATGGTGGATATTTGAGGGACTGAGTTCCCTCCAGCCCTGCCCCAGCCCATGAAGCCTGACAGAGCAGCGGTGTTGGGCTGATCCCCCACAGCGTGTCCTGGACACTGCCCTCTCTCCCTCCATCTGGCAGCCCCAAAACCACCCCCAGCAGGGACGAAACTGAGGTGCTCAGACACATGGGTCCTGACACAAGACATGGCCACTCCAGCCCTGCCCACACGGAGCCCCGTGCTCCTCGGCTGGGGGCGAAGGTGGCGGAGGAAGCCAGTAGACAGCAGTGTTAATTACAGTACAACTTTATTAATACTGGGATCTTCACAGTGCATTTGTTACTTGTAGCAGTGACTATTTAAATCAAGGGGAGGGTGGGCTGCGGAGGTGGGTGGGGGGGAAGGAGAGGATAATTTATCCAAAAACAGACAGAAGAGAAACAAAATGGTTTAGATGGGATAGGGGCACTGGGCAGGGCGGGTGGTGGAGGGGAGACACAGTGAGTGGGAACCAGAAGGGGAGGCCTAGGGAGGGGAAATAAATTAAAAGAAGGAACAAGTTAACAACAGCACCAGAAAAGTTACTTCAGTCAAAAGACACTTTGAATAGAATATTTCTCTGTACAAAAAGAAAAAAATGAAACAAAGGTAAAGAAGTCCCCCAAACCAAAGTTTGTAACATGGGATGGTTGGCTCGGATCCTGAAGGGGCGGGCCTACTTGGCGGTCACTAGAGGGATGAGGCGGTCAAGGGGGTGGAGGAGCTATGTACAGCCCTGGGGGTGGCCTGGAGGGGGGGCCCACAGTCTAGGTGAGGGGTGCCTGTGCCATGCCCACCCCCCTGGGGTCCCCGAGGCCACACCCCTCCTCCGGGCAAGCTCTCACGGGACCCGGGTCCCCCCCCCCCCCCCGCCACTGCCCCTTACCCTGCTCACATCAGATAACCTGCGTCTTCAATCAGCCCACCTGGGCAAACTCTAGGGGGGAAGCGTACACTCTGCCCCAAGCCTCCAAGTGCAGACCGTCTGCTCCCCCGGCCCTCCTCCAGGTGTGGTGCGCTCAGCTCAGCGAGGCTCCTTTCTCCCACCTAGCGACTTACAGGTACCGTCCTCCACCCACCTCTGGGGAGCCCCTCAGAGGCATCCCTGGTTCCCCACACCCGCCTGGCGGCCGTGCCTAGACCCGTTTCCGGAACAAGAACTACCGGGAGCCCCGGGTCCATCCAGACCAGGAAGAGCCAGCTCTCCTGACCCCAGGAGCCCCTGCCCCGTGACCCTGCCAGCATGGCCGCTCTCGGCAGGCCTGCGGGTCACAGGAAGCCCTCCGCTCGCCCTTGGCACACGTGCTTTTACCTGCTTAGAGTTGGCGCAACATGCTGTGCGGGTGGAGGGGTGCACTCCCCCACCTCAGTCCTGCCACCCGGGACCACCCTGGAATGGCATCCCCTCTGACAACAGAGTCAGAGCCAATCTCCCCCAGCAGCCCTCCCCCTTTGGCCTGCAGCAAACGGGCGGGAGGCCCAGCCCCCGGCCCCTTCCCAGCGCATTGTGGCTTTGCTCTGGACGCTGCAGGGAACCCTGCCCCTGGCCCCGGGAGCCGAGCCGGCTCTTGTCTTCTTCCCACGGCCGTCAGGCCACCGCAGGGCCCTCTGTCCCTCAGGCACTCTTGGACACACCCTGTACCGGCTACCCTGTCCCCACAAGCAGTCCTTGTTCGGTCAGCTCACTTTATTACATATTCATAGAAGAACCCACCCCCCACCCTCTCCAGTTTCAGTCCCTGACCCAAAGGTGGCTGAAACTGTCACCAGAGTTACAGTCCCCACGTGCCCAGATGACGATGGGGTTCTGAGCAGCTCCTGGGAGCCCGGGAAGACGACAGCCTGGCCTCCACCGCCTTCCCTGCTGCCCTGCCCCGCCCCAGCCACACCTGCAGGCAGGGAAGCTGTCTCAGGGCCCCCCACCCTCCTCTGGGCAGGCACCCTGCACGTCCTCCCCAAGAGACTCGACTTGGGCCCCAGGCCCCCGTCCCCAGTAGGTGGGCTGGCTCCTAACTTCACTGGCCCCCCCAAACGGCCAGCTGCTCTGTGTAGCCTTCGGGTTAAACCAGACACTAGCCCTGGCCCCTCCATGGACCCCGCCTCCCTGATGGAGGAGAGCCTGGGAGACGCAGAGACAGGGGTGACGGCAGGTGACGGAGAGGGACGTGGGGGGCCCTGGCCCGGGGCATGGGACCACGGTCCCCGGGGAGACGGGGAGGCGCTGGGCCCAGCTGCCTGAGCAGTGCACTGCAGGCCCCGCCAGGCAGGTGGGCCCCTCCGCCGGGGGCACGGGCACAGCTCTGTGGCTTGCCCGTGTGGGGAAAGGGCAGAGCCTGGCAGGAGGGAGAGGAAGGGCAGAGTAGGCAAGAAAAGGTTGAAACAGGCTTCAAATCCAGTTCAAAGCCCGCAGGCTCCTTCCTGGCACGGTCTAAGAAGTCACTTCCTGTTTAAACCATGAAATCCAAGCTGGGTTTCTCCTCCCAATAAAGTGGCTTTGACTCGTGTGACTTAAAAAAAAAAAAAGCTCGCCTGGCTCTGCTCACTCCTGACTGTGCCTTTGCTGTGAGCCGCCGCTGCCCATCGGCCAGGTCCCCTGCCTCGCCTGGCCGGGGGGCAGGAGGGAGGGAGGCGCCATCACAAGATGCGGGGCGCCGACCTGTCGTTGGTGACGGTCCTGCGGAGCCGCACCCCGCGCCGGATGGCCACCAGCATGTCTTCGGCTGGAGGCTCGCCGCTGGCGGCGGGGGGTGGGGCGGGCGTCTCCTCCGCGGGGGCGGCCGACAGGGCGGAGGGGAAGGGGAACTGGCCCTCGGCCAGCGCGTGGGCGCCTGCCACCAGCTCCCCGAGCTTCTCCACCAGGCTGTGCCGGTTGGCGGCCAGCTGCTGCTGCTGCTCCTCGTCGTCCTGGGCCGCCAGCCCCGCGTAGCCGGCCGCCTCTGGGGACGGGCTGCCCCAGGCCGTGTTGGGCAGGCTGAGCCTCTTCGGAGAGGCTTTGGCCAGGTCCGGCGCCAGGGCCGCAGCGGCCTCGTCTGCGTAGAAGACGCACTCCTCGCTGCCCGCCCGCGTGGGCCCCGCGTAACCGGGGGAGTCGGGCACCGTGGGCGTCTTCACCGGCACGATGGGTGGCCGGATGGGGATGGGGCCGGCGCTGGAGAGGGCGCGGCGCACGGTGGGCTTGGTGGACGGCGTGCGGCGGATGGTGGCCACGCCCGGGGGCGCCCCCGAGGCGGTGGGCAGCCCCGCGGTGGAGGCCGGACGCTTGGTCTGGATCAGGCGGCGGTAGTTCTGGGCGATGTTGCTGTTGCGAGGGATGGTGGACGACTTGTCGAATTCGGGGGGCCCCTCGCCGTCTGCATCCCCGTTCACGGAGTAGCAGTCGTAGTCAGAGCCTGGCGGGGCACGGGACGCGGTGAGCCCAGAGCCTTGGGCCGAGACGGCGCGGCCCCAGCCCGAGCCCCGGGGCCTACCTTGGGAGGGGATGGTGTCCTCGGAGCACGAGGGCGTGGTGGTCTGCGTGCTGTAGCCGCTCGAGTACTGCAGGGAGTCCCGGCTGCTCTTCTGGTGCTCCAGGCTCAGGCCGCGGGTCAGCACCATGGCCAGGTCGCTGGCCGCAGGGGACACCTCCTCTCCGTGCTGGGGGCGGGGAGACCGCAGGCTGAAGCCTCGCTCCCTGCTTCCCGTTCCCCCCGGCCGGGGAGGCAGTCCCCCCAGGTGGCCCGGGCTGGCCCCATGACCACTTGCCGGGCCTTAGAGCTGGCCTGGGAGAGAGGGGGGCCCGTTCATCCGGCCCGGGAGCGGCCCTTACCTTGGCTGCGATCGTGGCGGGGGACATGCGGGGCCGCGGGGCCTCCTCTCCACTGGGGCCCGGGGCGCCCCCGCCGGCCGGGCCCAGCTCCGGGTCTCGCAGGAGCTCCACGCGGTCCTTCCTCCGCTGCAGCGCGGTGCCTGCGGGCTGCTCGTGGGGGCCGGCCTTGGTCCAGTCCTGGAGGGCGAGGTGGGCGGGTCAGGAGGCCCCTGCGCCCCGCTCCTCACGGCTGAGGGCAGAGCACCCAGGGCACTGTGACTCCCCAGCCCCTCCTGGGCTCCTTGTCCCGCAGGATGGAGGAGGTGAGCATGTGGGGAGCAGCTGCATAGGGTGCCCAGGAGGTTTCTTTTGTGGGGTATGTGTGCGTAGGCATACCCCTCTGGTCGAACCTGGTCCCTCCCTGAGTGCCCGGGCAGGTCGGGGGCACTGACCGAGGTCGGGGAGCTGCACTCGCTAACGGACTGGCAGGTCTCCGAGGCCTCGGAGGATGCGGAGCTGGAGGACTTCTGCAAGCGGAGGCGAGCAGGCAGGCGGACGGGGCAGGGTGGCAGGCGGGGAGGGAGAGAACACATCCGGTCACGGCGCCAGCACGCGGGGGGCCCTGACTCAGCCCCCCACGGCCTCCCCGCCCACACCACGCCCTGCGCTGCCAGCGCCTGCGCGGAAAGCAGCACCCAGAGCGCACTCCCTGCGCGGACCTACCCCACCGCAGCCCAAGAACCACGCTCCTGAGAATTAACAAAGTGACTGACTGCTGCTGGCCTGCACGTGGCGAGCAGGGAAAGAGCGATGCTAAGGACGGCAGTGGGGTGCTGGCTTGAGCTGCCGGGGGCTTTGTCACCGTTCTCTCGGAAGGGCAGGCCCGGGGGGGAATGAGTCCAGGGTTCCATCCTGCGAGTGTTACTAGGGGCTGCCTGTTAGGTGTCTAAGCCCAGATGCAGTGCCAGCAACGGTATTTAACAATCTGGAGTTTAGGGAGAAGTCAGGTTTGGAGCCCCAAATCCAGCAGCGTCAGACAGAACCAGATGACACAGGCAGTCGGGATGAGGGTGGTTAGAGAAAGGGCTCAGGACGCCAGGCTGCCCTCAGCGCTTGGGAAGGAGAAGACGGCCCAGTAAAGAGGAATGACGGGACCTGCCAGTGGCGTGGAAGACCGCGAACAGGCGACAGTCACAGAAATCCGGGAAGGACCCTACCCGCCATGGAGGGAGGGCCAGTGGTGCGGGGGCTGCTGGGATGGGGCAGATGGGGCAGCGGGGTGTCCATGGAGACCCCCAGGACTGCTCATAGAGCGGCGGGGCAGATGCCCAGTGAAGACAGGGCCGAGGACACCCGGCGGCTCCTGCTCTGGGCAGTGGCAGGGGCCAGGTGCCCCGGGAGGCCCCCAACTCAAGACAAAGTGTGAAGAAAAGGAAGCAAGGGCAGAGCAGGACCACGAGGGTCCCCAGGGCAGAGGTGGCTTCAGCACTGTGGTTGAGACTGGGCAGGCGCAAGACGGAGAGCCCGCCGATGACTGGAAGTAAGCCTGGAAGGGGACTGGTCAGGTGCAGCTCTCCACGTCCTATGCCCACCAAGGCACATTCTCAAAAGCATCTTGGTTTCAACTCCCAGACTTTTTTAGTTATGATGAGCCAAGATGACCAAAAGAAAAGGAAAGTAAACTCTGTAAGTAAGGATTCAAAGAAAATAATAAACACGTTGAGAGTTTTACCAATATAATTGCTAAAACATAAAGAGAAAAAAATGTTTGGAAAACTCAGTGGAAAAATTCAACATCCATTCATGAAAAACACTCACACTAGTGATAGAAAGGAACTTCATTCATCTGATAGAGTTGTCTGCAAAAATATCAATTCTTTTCTTTCTGAGGCTGGAGAAAGATAAAGATGCCCACTATCACCATTTCTATTAAGTACTAGAAGTCCTAGCAGTGCAATAAAGCATGAAAAAGAAGTAAAAAGGAGTAAAAAACAAAAGGACTAGAAAAAAAGAAACTGATTGTTTGTAAAAGACCTGATTGTGTATGTAGAATATTCATTCTATGATTATCAGAACTAACAAGTGTTTTTAATGAGGTTATTGGATACAAGATCAACATGCAAAAAAAAAAAAAATCAAATTGCTAAATATCAGCAGCTGAAAAACAAGTAAGAGACTCTGAAAAAGCCAAAATAATTTAAAATAGCATTAACAAATATCAAATACCCAGGGGAAAAAAATCCAGTGGTATATGTGCAAGATCCTCATATGAAAACAGCAAAATATTACTGAAAGAAGGTAAAGCCATAATAAAATGGAGAGACACATGTAATCCCAGTCAGAATCCCAGGGATTGCTTTTTTTAAAGTGGAAACTAGCAAGCTAACATTAAAATTTAGAAGGAAATGCAAAGGGCCCAAAACAGACAGATAATATTGAAGAGTAACATACCTAGAGGACTTTTATTACCAGGCGTCAAGGTTCTGTATAAAGTTACAATAATTAAGATGGTGTCCTACTGGTATAAGAACAGACAGATCAACCAGTGGAACAGAATACAAACTCCAGAAACAGCTACACATTCACAGACACCTGCTTTATGATGAAGTTAACACACTACAGTGCAGTAGAGGAAAAAGATGCGATTTTCAATAAATTGTCAATTAGATATCCATATGGAAAAAAATGACTCCTTCAGTTCAGTTCAGTCGCTCAGTCATGTCTGACTCTTTGCGACCCCATGGACTGCAGCCCGCCAGGCTTCCCTGTCCATCTCTCATACTAACACACATACAAACAGTCAATTCCAGATGACCTGCAGATCTGAGTGAAAAAAGGTAAAACAAAAAGGCTTTGCAGGGAATTCCCTGGTGGTTCAGTGGTTGGGACTCCACACTTCCATGCTGAAGGCCCAGGTTCAGTATCTGCTGGTTGGGGAATTACAATCCCACAAGTGGAGCAGCAGAGCCAAAAAAAAAAAGAAACAACTTTTGGAGGAAAACATCTTTGTGACCCTGGAGTACACAAAAATAGTGCTAACAGGACAGAAAAAGCACTAACGATTGGAAAAAATGGATAAATTGGACATACATTAAGAACTTTAGAACTTTACTCCTATTAAAGGAGAAAAAGACCAGCCCACAGACTCAAAACAGATTATCAGCTGAAAAGACTTGTAGCCACAGTGTATAAGAAGTTCTACAAATCAACAAGAAAAAGACATACAACCTAGTAGAGAAAAAGCAACAAAAGATCTGAACATTTCCTTCATAAAAAGAAGATATGGCCTTTAAAAGTATGAAAAAAC